CTTTTCAAAATTAAGTGTGTGTGTGTGTGTGTGTGTGTGTGTGTGTATCCTGATAAAACTCCATAATTTTCTTAATGTAGGTATTTTTACTAAGCTACATGTCAACTTAGTGTACGTATAATTATAAGGATATGAAATGCAATAGACAGCCAACTTTGAACTCTTAAAATCCACAAATTCTAGTATTTTTAACTGCAGTTATGCAGAAAGTGTTATTGTTCAGTTTCATTGTTAACAGTATATATTTACATCCAATAAAGCAATGACAACTTTATGTCACAGCAATAGTACAGTAGAAATGAAGTTGACAATTTTATAGCACATCAATATGTCATAATATGGGAAGGATAATATGTGGTATATAAACTAGGTTTTAATATGGCAGTTCCACTGCTTTTTAATGTAAAATAGCTGAATAAAGACATCAGTACACAATGGGGAGTAGGGAAAGAATAATTTCTGCAGTTATTTTAGCTAAGATTGGTGTTTTAGGTAACTTAGAAGAAATTTGACTGAAGTAAACAACTTTTTCTCGAGGAAAAATGTATTATAAAAGTTTGACAAGACAAAAGTAACTGAACTTTGATGTTGGCGTTGCCTATTTGATTGTAGTTGGTTTGGTTCGGACACAGAATAATATATGAATCCAGTGCAATCGTATATGCTATTACTTGTACATGCCCCTCTATTTTATGAGGCATCCTCTCATATAACTGCACCTACATATCTACCTATTTGCTCACCAGGGAATAATCCAAGAGAACAAAATAGGATTTGTATAATAGCACTTATAAGCGAATAAGAGTTGTGCATATTTTGAAATTATTGAGAATAAATGGTCCATGCAAGGCCAGTACTTCCTCCCTCTTTAAGAGGCCTAACTTCCTCTTGAACCTGAGAAAAAGTTATTGCTACTTCTAAATTTATATTCAGTTTAATCAGTGAAAGCCTTGTGCTCAAAGCCTGAAAAAAGCCTTGAAAGCTTTGTGCACGAAGCTTGCTTAAATGAATAGTAAAGAGTTGCTATACTTGGAGACCAGAAGCATTTCTTCTCCATAAATACCAAGTGTGCATAATCTTAATGTATTTCTATGTACACCCACAACTAAGCAGGTGTTTGAATAAATAAGTTATATATTATACCATAAATTGGAATTGCCCCATACTGTACATTCTAAGATTTACTTAGGGTAATTAGTACTGCTGCGCTTTTAAAAATTTAATTAGCTTGATCAACAAATATTGGTAGGTAACTGTTGTTCTCTCCCTGTCTTTATAAAAACTTCAATGTTGATTTATTTAATTGCTACTATGTCAGAGAAAGACAAGATTTTAGGGTTTTTCTTTTTTTCTGGTCAATAAGAAACATTGCTGGAAGCTAAACCTTATTGAACTCAATTAAATCCAATTAATTTCAAGATAAAATGTGCAAGATCAGGTGACATGGCTGTCATGCATGTTTTGCTTCAAGAAAGCCTTAATTCCAGTAAAAAAAGGCACTGGGTCATGCTGGAAGGTTACAAAGCATTCAGTAAGAGTTCTTCAATTTCAATGAAGATGCTGAGCAGCCCATACTTCTGCATAATCTACACTGACTTTCCTCCCTGACAGTGTGTGAATAATCTATATTGCTCTTCCTGGAAGGATGGAAGTTGTCCTAAAATAAAAACGATGAACATCAGTCTTGTTCACATAATAGTTTTACTTCCCCTCCCCGCTTCAAATGGCTTGTGCCATAAAATGCAATTACTCTTGACGCACAAAAATGGAAGTCAGCAACTAGTAATAAGATCACTTTAAAAAAAAAAAGAATCCTTAGGTCAGATTTGCAAGGCTGTAATGAGCCCAACATTTCTGTTGCTAAGTGAGACAGCTGTAAAATGAATTTTGCCCCATTTTAGGGCCTTTCTTGACACAGTTTTTAAGTGAATCATTGAAATGTTTAAGTTAGTAGCACTTTGTGTTGCCTGTGTTGTGAATCTGGGTTTCCCATTGACTTAGTTTGTGAGAAGGTTGCAAAAGGTGATCGATAACATAACTCCATAACACTGCAACTGTCATAAATGAGTCAGTTGCCAAGCGTCTGAATTTTGATCTCATAATTATGGGCATGTTGCAACAGTCATAAGTATGAAAAATAGTCCTAAATCATTTTTTTAAAGTGCTGCTATAACTTTGAAACACTGAACGGTTGTAAGTTGTAAGTTGAGGATTACTTGTACTTAGTCCTGACCAGCAAAGAGAAATAACCTTAAGGTTCCTGTGTGTGTATGTCTTACAATATATCAGTAAACCATTATGTGCATAAAGCAAGCCATGTTTCCATATTTGTAAAATTACCAGATTCTTTTAACTTCTCCAAGCTTTTTATTGATTATATTCCTGGTTCCCTAAATATCCCTGTGAATGCCACTGGAAATAAACCTTCCTAACTGAGCCCAAATTACTAAAATGTAAAATTTGTAAGATATAAAATTACTCTACTAAGGTGTAAATGCAAAAATGAAACATCTTTTTAAAAAAACTTTATATCAGAATAGTATTAACTTTATGTTCCAAAGTAATCAAAAACTGATAAAGACTTTTCAATCAGACAAACCAATTAAATTTACCTGTCATATAAAATTAGAAGGCTTTGATTAAATAAAGTATGTAAGGCACAGAAACCACGTCCTATGTACAAAAATGGTTTGTGTCTAATTTTTTATTAACCATGAATAGTTAAATGTACATATATAAACCAAGCAAATAAAACATATGATTTTGCCTTTTAGAAGATATGTTTCCCACTGGGAGCAGTTGCGTAACAAAACTTGGGACTGTCCTGGAATGAGAAATCCCAACATGACATTCACAGGAAACTATCCTGCACCAAACCCTTCTAGCTCAGTGTATATGGAGATTCTCAGTCATCCAGCTCATAGTCGTCCCAAAGGTGCTTTTTCAAGAGGTAACTTGACTTTCTGTTTTTTCTTTGAAGACGTTTCACTTCTCATCCAAGGAGGTTCTTCAGCTCCCCACCATCCAGTCAGAACTGAAGAAGCTTCTTGGATGAGAAGCAAAACATCTTCAAAGAAAAACCAGAAAGTCCAGTTGCCTCTTGAAAAAGCACATTTGAGACTTCTAGCTCAGTGTTTCTCAAACCTAACAAGAACTGTGGACTTCAACTCCCAGAATTCCCTAGACACCTTGCTTCCCAGCTTGCTGGCTGGGGAATTCTGGGAGCTGAAGTCCAGAAGTTTTAAAGTTGTCAAGTTTGAGAAACACTGGTGTCTAGCTATTTATGATTGCCCAGATTTTCCATTGGTTGGTGGTTCTGACCATTTCTCCAAAATATTAATTTTGAAGTATAAATTAGGTGGGTTTTTTGGGATGGTGAAGGGGGATATTATCAATCATTTTTCAGCAGAGCCATCTAGTTCTATATAATCAGCAACTTCAATTAGTTTGGCAGAGAAGTTGGCACTCCAGAGTGATTTCTGAAATAGCCTTTTCTCAGTTCTCGAGGGTTGGATTTTTGTTTTTTCACCCTTTATTTCATTAACGCTTACTAGTCTTTGTAACTACTGTACTAAGTTCGGCTTGATCGGTTGCAAAGTAGGCCATTTTCGTCTCGTTCTGGATGATTTGGGGTTGTTAAAAGCCGCAAACCAACGCGTTAAAAACACACACACACAACAGGCTCATTTCATTGTAACGCACCTGTCGTTTTCTAGCGTTGAGTTTTATTTCCTAAGGGCCTCTCCCAGCGTTTACACTACTATCTCTTTATTTCAGTGCAAATAAGTCTAGCGCGTATTGGATCTTAAAAACCCTCCTCGGCGCTTTCCAATTGCCCCACCGCCTCAAACTAGGCTGGCCTCGTCCTTCCATCTCAGGCGGCTGCGCCCCGGTGAAGCGCCCCGGCTGTTTTCTAAGATGCGCCAGCAGCGAAAAAAAAACCCCAAGGCGCCTTTTCTGGAGCCAAGACGACCTCTTCGAGCTTTACATCCTTTTCATCCGATTAAAAAAAAAACCACTACTTTTCCACTGCAGCGACCCCTTCCTATTGACTGCGCTGCCGGGCTGGTAAGCGTGTCCAAAGTTGCGCCCTGGAGGAGAGACAAGAGAAGCGACCCAGGGGGCCTTACCTGCGCGGCGGCGAGGGAAGAAGGCATGAAAGAGGCCAAGGCCGTGGGGGAAACTTGGGCTTGTTTAACCAGCCTAACTGGCCTCAAGGCCTCCCCCGCAGGTAGGAGGACCAGAGTCCGTCGGAGACGTGCGCGCCCATCCGCCCGCGCTCCCCAAAGATACCCTCGGGGTCAAGATGGCGGGAGCCGCTTGGAAAAGGCCTGGAGCAAGCAAGGGAAGGAATCCGCGGCCGCCCCGGGAGCGGCTATGGCTGCGCTCCGCTGCGCGGCTTCGACATCTGCTGCCCGAGCGCCGCCAAGTCCCGCCAGGAGACGCGCGAGAAGCCGGGAAGAGCCGCTCGCCTTGTGTTTGGGCTGCCATGGTGACACTGCCCTGCAAACGGCGAGGGAGAAAAAACTGCGCCTCTGCTTCGGAGCTGGAGGCTCCTGAGTATTTCTGGGAAAGGCCCGCAGAATTTGTTAAGAGTTGCAGGCCAAGGAGAGGGGACCCGTTGGGGAAGGCTGTTCTTTGCCCTCCCCCAGATAGGTAGGATAAATAGATGGATAGGATAGGATAGGATAGGTAGGTAGGTAGAGAGGATATGTAGATAGGTAGGTAGATATATAGGATAGGTAAGGTAGATAGGATAGGTAAAGTGGATAAGATTGATAATATAAAATCGATTGATAAAATCGATTAAATAGATACTCTTTATATACAGGTAGTCCTCGACTTATTACCACAGTTGAGCCCAAAATTTCTGTTGCTAAGTGAACCATTTGTTAAATGGTTTATAATTTATAATTATAATTGGATCTTANAAAAGGGCAGCATATAAATAAAATCAACATTCAACATTAGGATGATGAAAGGCCTGGAGACGAAAACATATGAAGAACGGTTGCAGGAATTGGGTACGGCTAGTCTAGAGAAAATAAGGATTAGGGGTGACACCATAACAGTTATTTCAATATTTAAGGGGCTGCCACAAAGAAGAGGGGGTCTGCTTATTTTCCAAAGCACCAGAAACCAAGACAAGAAACAATGGATGGAAACCAATCAAGGAGAGAAGCAGGATTCTGATGGACTGATTAAATGCATTCCTTGAGACCTCAATCATTCATTTTCATCTGGTAGACTTGTGATCAGAGAAAAGCCAGGAAATGCTGTATACCACTAGAAGGAATTGAGGAGGAACAAGTGTTAGGAAACTCAAACCTCTCAATCGATATTCCTTTTTAAAGGCATTGTGCATTGATTTCATCTAATTTATTATGGATGTCCTTCATTAACCTCTGAGGATACTGGTGCCTAGCAACCAACATCTTAGCCCAGAAGGGAAAATACCCCATGCAGATCTTCTCACTGAGCTGGGAACTTTGTATGCGATTGTATCCACCATGGGGTAAAGCTGCATTTCTCTAAGCTATCTCAGATTAATTTTAATGTGTTTCTTCCCACTGAGCTTTTTTTTATCTATCAATTATTCAAGACAAGTGATGCTCAAACTATGTGCATCTGATTTTTCATTTCTGTTTTATAAGAAATACTAGACGGTACTTTGCTCCTTGAGGATGACAAGCTAGGATGACTCAACTGAGGAAAAAAAAGAAGAATTATACATGGCTGCAAGGAGAGGTTAATGGATTCTTGGGAAAGTCAGAGGATCAAATATCTCTTTGCTTAAGAAATTAAATATGGAACACCAAGAGAAGAATGCACAGCACAACAACCCAGAGGAAACTTTCTTAGCAACTGCTTCTGCTCTCTGCACAGCATTTTGATGTCCTCCAGAGCAGATATTTTAACATTACATTGACCTGGAATGAAACTTCAGCCATTGTTTTATTAATGAGCTGAATTAAACATTCATTTGTTTCAACTTCACAATCCCTCCAGAGTTTCATCGGTCAGTCTCAAGAAACCACATACAAGAATATATATCCTTACCATTCTCATCCCGTTCAGTGAAAAAATAAAGCACTTACCTTGGATGTGTGGTAAGTGAGGGAATGTACTTCAGGGGTGGACTTTGAATTTTTTTAGCAAGGGGTTCTCTGCCTGGTTGATGAATAGGAGTGGCCATGGTGGGAGTGGCCATGGTGGGCGTGGCCTAGTTGGCCTTCTGGACCACGGCGGGCGGGGGGGTTGCCCTCCCTTGGCTCCAGAGGCTTTTCTCAATCCTCTGGGAGGGTGAAAACGGCCACCACTGGGCCTGAAGTCATGCAGTATTTTCATGAACTTCTCAAAACAGATTGTATATTAAATTTGAATTTGATAAAATTTATATGCTGCCCAATCCCGTAGGACTCTGGGCAGCTTACAAATACAAAAATAACGTCAAAAACTAAAATATAGAGAAAAGAAAAGATAGATTTAAAAACAACACANGATCTGTCCCTCACCTGGTCCTTCACCTCTTCCAAGGGTGCAATCATCCCACATACACTTTTTAAAAAAAATAAAAAAACCTTTGTGTGCAATACAAGTACCATAGCCCTTCTATAGAGAGATAGAGAGAAAAGAACGGTGACCAGCCATGCTTTGATTATGGACAACGTTTGGCTATCAAAATTTAAAAAATCCACTTCCAGAGATATTCCTGTCAAAGTCATTTCACATTTCTGATTGCAAGGACTTAGACTGGATGGGTGAATTTAAATGAATGGTTTGATTGAATAAAATGGATATTGTTTTTCCCCCCAGTCCACTATTGTTCCAGTCAGTGATGATAAAATGGAGCATTGGTGGACTGATGTTTTAAAAACCCAGCAGAAAAATAAGTAGGGCAGGGAGAGAAAAATAGTAATTAAAACAGCAACAGTTCGGCCAGGCTTTGAACAAGCGAAGGTCGGCATGTCAAGTAAGTGTTATATCCATTATCCATTGAAGCACCCATGGTAACAGCAACTGCAGCAGAGATTAAAGAGCAACGGGGTGATGACCATTGACCCAGGTGAGGGGGTGTTCTTGCTCAGTAAGATACCAATTAAACTGCAGGGCTTTGCCTGGAAGAAAGTAGAGCACAACAGACAAATTGGACAGCAACCCTTGAGCTGGCACAAGCTGGGAAACATGACTTTCAATTTGGAACAGGAAAACATAGAGAGGGTTTGAATTATTAGAAGGCTAGCGGTGAGCAGAAGATATCCCTGCTCTCAAAAAATAGGTGATGGTTGATATTCACGATGTGGAAGCTTGCCAGTGTGGATATTGCCCTGGAGTACAGGAGCTAAACTTGCTGGATCATGTTGCCGTCATGTGATGTATCGTGACATTTTCTACCTTCACGGAGCTGGGGTGGGCGTGGCCTGTGCATGATGCATCTATCCCATGGGCCGCCAGTTTGACACCCTTGCCCTAGAGCGTTTGTTAATTTTGCATGTTGCCTAGCAAAAGCTTAGCCTGTTCAGGTTGTGATCCTGTCTCAGCTTCCCACCCCTCTTGACACAACAGTGAATTCAGGAGTTTGTATCCTTAGGTCAGTATTTCCCAACCTTGGCCATTTTAAAATGGGTCACTTTCAACTCCCAGGACACCCCACCCAGCATTGCTGGGCAGAGTATTCTGGGAGTTGAAGTCCTCACGTCTTAAAATGGCTAAGCTTGGGGAACACTGCCTTAGATACCACATTACCTAACTTGGCTGGAGACATGCCTTGTATTGAGCTTCCAGTCAACTTTGGGTAGCTATTATGGGGAAAAAGAATGCTGGTCTAAAGAAATCATTGTCCTAATTTAGCATGGCTTTTCTTGCACTCTTTCAAACTGGGGGCTGGGCAGGTGTCACTGATTGCATTTGGTCAAAGTTGGCATCAGTGGTGGGATTCAAATAATTTAACAACCAATTCTCTGCCCTAATGACCAGCTGGGTAGGTGGGGCTCAATGGTCATGTGACTGGGTGGGCGTGATCAACTCAACGTCACTCACCTCAATGGGCGTTTTGCCTTAGCAGTTACAATGTAATAAGGGTTAACCGGAGAGGCAATTTCTGTAAGCAGGGCAATAAAGATTAGGCTAGAAACAAGACCAAAATGTTTCCTTCCTGCCTTCCTTACAGGATTAGGCCCGTAAAGTTGAAAAAAACAAAAGGAGATTTCTTCCAACAACTGGTTCTCCCAACTGCTTAGAAAGTTAACAACCGGTTCTTCCGAATAGGTGCGAACTGGCTGAATCCCACCACTGGTTGTCATGCAACCTTGCTGGGATTAGTAATTACAGCATTTTAGGCAGTGGATCTCTGGTTGCCATTGAGTCATTGGAAATTATTTTTCTGTCCTTTAAAAATTGGATGATTCTAGCCGCAAACTTTTATTTTCCAGAATCCCTCACAATCTTTCCAAAGTGAAGACACTTCACTAAGTGATGGCAGAAGATGAAATATCAGTAACGGACACAACTTCCTTTGGAATGGCGTTTCCTTTTGAGAGGCCTCCAAACCTACATATCTACAGAATTCATTACAGGTTTTCAAATGAACAAAAGGGTTGGATAACAACTGAATACCCTGCTTTCTTTTCTATAACAGTTTTTCACTTAAATGGTAGCCAGCTTGAGAAATATATCTCAGGGAATGTGGTTTTTAAAGGTGTGGGGAAAGACTGTTTGATGCATTCTAAAGCTTTGACAAGTCTTTTAAGTGTATTTTTCCAGCCGGAAAAAAAAAAAGACTTGCAGGAGGGAGCAAGATTTGTGATTGCTAAGATCCCAGTCTTAACTATAAAGCAGATATTGATGACTCCATCCTATGTTGCCCTGACATCAGTGATATGTCACTTGGCAGAAATATTTCCCAATGGCTTAGTTGGCAACAGAAGTTCTGATTTGCACCTCTACTATTTCACCTTTTCTTTTGGAGGTTTTATCATAGCCAGGGATAGATCCAGTATTTTGTTTGTATTTTATCTCTGCCAAAGCAAGATTCGGTAGTAATAGTCCTGATCTAAAATTTGAAGGTTAGGGCACTTTTTTTTCCTTTCTGCTCCCATTAGAAATTCTAAATAAACTTCTCTGTGCCACATTCATTATCCCTCATTAGCACTCTCATTAGTACTATAATTATTTGGGGGCTTTTTTCCTGTGTGCCCATGAATTCAACTGCCAAATAAAGATAATAGCAAGAACAAAAATATTACAGACTATGAATGAGGCAGTGGCTTGACCTTTGCATGCTCCAATGACCCAAGCTTAAAAATTGAATAAAAAGGGAGACCTTTGCCAAATGCCACATGCTGAGTTTAAGCAACACATACTTGGATGAAAAGGTAAATAACAAAAGCTAAATAACTAAATAGGAAGAAATGCAGCCCCAGCAGAGGTGGAAA